CCCATGCTCGTGCTGCCTGCCGCCCTTGTCTCCCTGCTCTCGCAACTTAAGCTTAGAACTGATACATTAGTAGTGAGCTCAAAGCTCTTTAAGTACATCAGAAATGAGCAAGGTATGGATGAGGAGGGAATCAGGGGGCAATCCTAGGGAATCAAGGGTAATCCCAAGGCAATCTCCAATTGGTGGGTTGGAGATTGCTTGGAGATTACATTTGGGTTTGGTTGGGATGTGGGTGTACACCCAACCAAACACGAAGTACAAACTACACTAAACTAGGATATAAAAGTACAAGTACAAAATGTGAGATCGAGGGCTAACACCAACACCTTCCTGCACTGGCCTGCCGCCCTTCTCACCCTGCCCGCATTGCACTGCTCTCACCTGCCCTGTACTGCCTATGCACTGTCCGTGAGCAGGGCGTGAGGGGCTTTGAGGGGCCCATCCACGTGTTTGGCTTCCCCACCTACCTGCGCTTCCAGGCGCCGCAACTCGTCTACTACCACAATACCATCAGGTACCGCACAACACCATGGGGTACCACCGCATGGGGTAGCACAGCATGGGGTGCAAGAGCATGGGGTGCAAGAGCATGGGGTACCGCCCCTGCCTTTTCAAATTGTGAATTATCTGCTGCTTTGAGTCCGAGCCCTTTCGTAATACATTTAAACCCGAAAGCGAGCTTCTATTGCGCTATATCAGCGCTATATCAGCGCTATATCAGCGGTATGTCAGCGCTATATCAGCGCTATATCAGCGGTATGTCAGCGCTATATCAGCGCTATATTTGTGCTAACGTGGACCCATTACGTACCAGGCGGCATTTGATAGTGCTGGTGGTCCCGCTGTTGGCCGATGGACTGTGGATGGAACAGCGGTTACCAAACTGATATGACTTTTAGCGTACTGAATATACCCCCCTTCCTGCTTTTTTCCGCCCTCGTTTTCTCCCTTGAGTACTTTTCTCCACCCTTTCCTCCTTACCCCTCCTAACTTCCCCTTCTCTCCCCTTGGGCCCATCAGGCCACGCCCCCCCAAGTTCTCCTTGCTGCCGAGGAAGGATCCCAGCTCGCTGGCGCCCAACACGTACCTGCTGCTGCTCTACATCACGCCCTGTGCACCCGGCAGCAGCCTGGCGGTGCAGGTGCAGCTGGTGAGGCGCGGCGACGGCAAGAAGCTGCCCTCCGTGCCGCGCTGGGTGCTGCACCTCCGCCAGCACCAGGTGTTTGATGGTGAGTGCTGCACCTCCGCCAGCACCAGGTGTTTGATGGTGAGTGCTGCACCTCCGCCAGCACCAGGTGTTTGATGGTGAGTGCTGCACCTCCGCCAGCACCAGGTGTTTGATGGTGAGTGCTGCACCTCCGCCAGCACCAGGTGTTTGATGGTGAGTGCTGCACCTCCGCCAGCACCAGGTGTTTGATGGTGAGTGCTGCACCTCCGCCAGCACCAGGTGTTTGATGGTGAGTGCTGCACCTCCGCCAGCACCAGGTGTTTGATGGTGAGTGCTGCACCTCCGCCAGCACCAGGTGTTTGATGGTGAGTGCTGCACCTCCGCCAGCACCAGGTGTTTGATGGTGAGTGCTGCACCTCCGCCAGCACCAGGTGTTTGATGGTGAGTGCTGCACCTCCGCCAGCACCAGGTGTTTGATGGTGAGTGCTGCACCTCCGCCAGCACCAGGTGTTTGATGGTGAGTGCTGCACCTCCGCCAGCACCAGGTGTTTGATGGTGAGTGCTGCACCTCCGCCAGCACCAGGTGTTTGATGGTGAGTGCTGCACCTCCGCCATCACCAGGTGTTTGATGGTGAGTGCTGCACCTCCGCCATCACCAGGTGTTTGATGGTGAGTGCTGCACCTCCGCCAGCACCAGGTGTTTGATGGTGAGTGGAAGAGGGAGAGGAAGAGGGAGAGGAAGAGGGAGAGGAAGAGGGAGAGGAAGAGGGAGAGGAAGAGGGAGAGGAAGAGGGAGAGGAAGAGGGAGAGGAAGAGGGAGAGGAAGAGGGAGAGGAAGAGGGATGTGAAGAGGGAGAGGAAGAGGGAGAGGAAGAGGGATGTGGAGAGAATCTTCTGTTTTTTTTTGTATCTCGCTATCCAGCTGATTCTGCCTTTTTCATGCTGAAAGAGTAGCAGTTCTCTCTAGTAAGGCCTCAACCTTCATCGTTGTTTGTCTTAGCCCCATCTGCTTGCCGCTCCGCCATCTGTTCCCCTCCTGTCTCTGCCTTTGCGTCCCGTCCTACTTGCTCAGCCCCTCTTGTCCCTTGGCCCTTTTTAAACACGGCCGTACCATGTGTGTCTGTCCCCGCGGCCACCAGGCGATTCCTACTTCCTGCACTGCCAGGAGCGGGTGCTGCAGGAGGTGGAGCAGCACATGGAGGACGCGCGGGCGGGAAAGGCCGAGGCACAGCCGGGAGGAGGCGCGGCAGTGGGTGGGCGAGGTGCGGTGGAGGGAGCAGGGGCGGCGAGGGGGGCGGCGTGGAGGGCGTTCTACATGCCCACCAACTGTGACCTGCCCGTCGTTGCCTTCCACCAATGGCTCTCCAAATATGCACGTGCGTGCCTTGCCTTGTCTCAGTGGATACTTCATTGGAAGAACAGTGGTTGCAGCTCTCAGAGAGATCCTCTTTCTGTTCGCACAAGGAATATATTTCAAGCCATTCTTGCGTGGAACAACGCAGTCTCGGATGTACATTGGGAGAAACGTGTGCCTGCTGGTGGGGTTCATGAGCGGTGGGGTTCATGAGCGGTGGGGTTCATGAGCTGTGGGGTTCATGAGCGGTGGGGTTCATGAGCGGGTGTAAGCCAGGCGGGGCGGGGATGGAGATGACCAGCTCACCACAGCAGCCTTGTGACCCAACTATCGCACCTGGCTAGTTTCGTACTCCAAGCTTTGCAGTTGTGAGTCTCATTGTCGTATCTTCCCTGACATGTAATACAGACAGCATCCTTCGTTCTTCGAGCCTTCTTTCTTCGGTTCGTCTGGCTCGACTCACCCCTTTCTCTCGAGTATGTTAGGCCCATGAGTGTGTGCAACGCCCCTGCCAGCCATGTTGCATATCCACTGTGCCGAGTTGTGGAAATACAAGGTGCTGGGTGAATGTGAACGAGTGCAAGGCTGGATGCTGTGCCAGGTCTCATGTCGTCCAGATTTACGGTATGGAATGGAAAAGTTGAATCTGAGCTCCAACCCCCTTGCTCTGTGCCATCCCTCCTTGCCTCGCATGTTGATGCTTTCGCCCACCGTCAACGTCACCCGTGCATGTCGTGCATGTGACCACCACGCCACCTCTGTCCCCCCGTGCACCAGGTGGGGCCGTGGCGTACCCGCCGCCCTTCACAGGCGTGGCGCTGCCCCCCCAGCCGGCGCCCAAGGAGGTGGTGTTGGAGCGCATGGCCTCGCACACCGCCACCTGCACCGCCTGCACGGGCGCCCTCACCAACGTGCAGCGCCTGCAGCTGCTGCTGCCAGCCGCCTCACTGCTCTCCGCTGCTGCTGCTGTCGCCTCCAACTCCCTGCGTGCTCGCGTGCCGCTTGCTGTGCTGGCCGTGGCGGCGGCAGCGGCAGCGTGGAAGGTGCGGGAGTTGGGCAAGGAGTTTGTGTACACGGGGTGGGACCACGCCACCAGGGACTGACCACGGGGTGGGACCACGCCACGCGGGATTGAAGTCAGGATTACAGGTTATGCAGCCACACGGGTCTTGCTTGCACTCTAACCGTAAATTTAGGGCTCTCAAGTCTTCTTTCATCCGTGTGTTTGCGCTTCAAGAAATCGGCTTGCTGGTACTTGGTGGGGGTGGAAGCGAGGACGTAACACCAACTGAAAGAATCACTAGAAAAGGACATACAAGGGCAGTATATGTAATGTCCGAGCCCTCTATAGTATCATCTGGTTTGTTGGTGCATCATTGGATGATGGCATGTTGACCAGTTCTTCATGCAATTCAAAGGGGGCAATCTGCAAGAAATTTCTCCTGCTGCTTGCGACACATGCTGAACTCGCTGCTGTAGTAGTCCATGCACTTGAAATACGCCTCCATGCTCTTTGGACACTGCCCTTGCAACGACTTCAGCCTGCACACAGCATGGGAGAAAACGAAAGGGGGTGGGTTGGGGAGAGGAAGGCCGCAGGGTGGAAGACATGGGGTATGAGATTGTGAACTCGCTTCTGGGATCGAAATGGTACATGTGCGTTTATGGGCAGAGCACATGGGCATGGAGTGCGGATGGCATGTCAGTGCAAGGACAGTGACCCAGTGATGCGCCACCGCGCGCGTACAGCATGGCGCTGAGGCAGCACGGGCTGAGATGGAAGCAGTTTGACTGAGAGCAGGTGGCAGGCGGCAAGAGGGCAAGAGGGCAAGAGAGAAGAAGACATGGTGAAGAGGAAACCAATAGAAGAGGAGCAGCAGCATGTGACACATGGTGAAGCGGACCACACGACAGCATGCTCGCTGGAAGGGCACAAGCACGAGCCACGGGCGGCTCGTTCAGCCACAGACGGCAATTCCTGAACCCACTGGTCGCACGTAGACCGGCTCAGCAAACCGTACTCGACATCCAGCAAACCCTAACCCAGGAAGATACCACTAAGTGGGGATGAAAGGCTTTTTCAAAGCGAGGAGTGACAGCATCACGACGGCGGATGCCTCACGCTGGCTGATAGACCTATCGCGGTGCAGCGGAGTTGATCGGCACGCAGAGCGGATCGGACAGGAAGGCGGAGGCGGCGCGCGGTGCACTCACAGGTTGAGCACGCATCCCGTGACCTGCGCGCCCTGCTGCAAACACTTTTCGGGATTCTCGTCCGCACGCTTGCACTCCAGGAACGCGCGATTCTCAGCGGCGCAGCTCTTGGCAATGTGTCTCGATGCTGACATCAGCACGGCTGACGTGGCAACCGGAGTATCGTCCGACATGATAGAGAGGCAGCAGCCTGCTTCTCAACCCGATCTGAGATACGCGACGAAGAAAGATGGCGATGCACAAAAAGGAGCAAGCGGCTGCGGTGGGTGAGCGTACGCGGACGATGGAAGGCGAGAGAAGCACAAGCAGGACGCGACAACAGGCGCGAGTGATCAATTTTGAAGTTCGGTGTTATGAGTTCTACTAAAAAGAGTGCGCGGAAGACTTAGATGTCGAATACAGAATCACGAGAATGATAAAGAAGCATGCATTTATAGGGTCGAAACCGTGCTAGGCGAGGACCTCGATGTGCGTGGCTCGGGAATGTCGCAATTGGTGCGGGGCGACTCGGGGCTGGTTCGGTGCGAAAGTGTAGGCCGAGCCACACTGACGCGAACTGCTCGGGGCTGTCCTCGCTAAGGACAGTTCTACAGTAATGAATTGCACATTCATTACACTCTCCCACCTTCTAAATAAGGTGCCCTTATATGTAGGTGAGTCTTGCAGTAGCGTGAATACTGCAGATCTCGATCGAAAACCGATCTGACGGTGCGGAAGCGTGTTGACTTTCGAGTTGACGCTTGGCTGCGCGCATTGACCAGGCAAATTTCAAAGAGTTGGGATGTCAGCCGTTGATACTGCCGATGTCGATCGGGCGGTTGAAAGCGAATGTCGATTTGAATTCTTCCGACGAAAGAAAGCAGATGATGTAGCGGATACGTTTCGGACGGCAAAGATAAACGCGATGTCTCGCGGCGGCTCGGACGCATATCAGAAAACGAGGAGTCCGAAGCCGTCGATGTCGTTGAATCTTATCACGAGCGTCCGTCGTGCAGAAGCTGTCAGACGAAGTGTCAGAAAAACTGACAAGTACAGTGCGAGAGCACTCCCTCTCCCCCCCCTGAAGATAACTGCAGCCCACCGAAATGTGCACAGCTACGCGGGGACAAAACCACAACCACCCTGATGCCGAGGGTAGGACAGAAGACCAAGTGTTATGATTTCCCGCCTGAAATTCAGCCGCTGTGCTGTCGATTGCTGTCGAAGCTCCAAAAAATGCCCAGGGTAATCTCTGTCGAAGTCTCTTCGAAAGAAGATCGTGTTTGTAGGGACTCGGCATTAATAAAATCTTCTTGTTGTCTTGTTGTCGCGACTGTTGCTGCAGCATCTCTCGTGACTGCCACCTCGAAATCCCCCGTGTGGCAGTACCAAATCACTTTACTCCTGCCGAATCTCCAGTTGTCAGCAGCTGCAATCCCGAAATTGCTGGTGTTTGGCTTGTTGTTGTGGCAAAATCTTCGCTGTAACTGTTCCAGCTGTCGGCGCCCGCGGCAGTCTTGTCAAGACTCGCCGAGACCTTTGTCGCGTTGCTCCGAAAACTCATGAGCAGGGGCGAAAACAATTGCTGCTCTTTCCCCTGGCGACCAAATATTTTTTCGAAGTTGAAACTCGAGCTGTCGATGACGTCAGCTACCTCGGCGATGTTGTCGTGACTCGCCTTAGACTTCGGGGCAGAGGCGAAAAAAGCTGTCCTTCCTCCCCCCACCTGTTGCGATAATTTTCACCTGTGTGGCGGCTGGTACCCCTGAAACTCCACAGATTTTTCCGCCAAGAAGTTCACCACGGCAGGTTTCGCTCGCTTATTTTAGCGCCGCTGCAACACCGCCGTTTTGACGAAATTGTCGGCCGTCACCGCTGACTCCTGTAAAACTGGGACTCGGTACTCTCCGTAAATGTCGGTGCCGAAAATTCTTGTACGTCTTGGTCACCTGCAGGTTATCCCCTTGAAGAACCGGTGTATCTAGCGTGGCCACCCGTCGCCATTTTGCTCTCCGTGGTTAACCACACTAGCAACCCACCAACAGGAGGTGCTCTTTCGTGCGGAACCCAGAGTCATGGGTCTACCGGGACCGAATTTCACGGAACCTAGCCAGCATCAACGCCGCTGATCTTGTAGAAGAATTTCCCCAGATGGCTTCAAAGTACACCGTAAACCGCTGAAACAGCTGGCGAGCAGACGTTCACCCGTCTCCCACCGTAGGAAAGAACCCCGAAAATCATGGTTGTTGAAGCAGTCCCGAAGTATTTTCCGCCGCGTAACCCCGACGTTTCCGCCGTTAACCCTGGTACTCCGACGTTCACCCGTCTTCGCACCCGTCGAAATTGCTTAGCAAATCCCAGGTATCCTTGGCGATACACCGCTCGCCGCGCCTCCATGTAACAATATCAAACCCTTTCGGGGGTTTACCGATTAGACTCTCAAATTCGCGGTGGATTGGTGTACGGGCTCAACCTTTCACTCTAGAGACCTGCTGGAGCACCCACAAATTTCTCTCCTTTTTTTTTTTTGTCTTCACCCCCCGACAATTTCGCTTGCCGCCGTTCACCCAGCGTCCGCTTTTGTCGGATGAGGTATAACTCCGTGTTGCCCACAATTTTTCTGACATTCGGTGAAGGCGCGAACGCTATCGTAGCCGGATCATGTTTATCGGATCAAACAGTCGGGCCGGCCGCTTCGTTGCCCACCGCGTCTATCGTGCTTAAAACTACACAGCTTCGAAAATCCCTTCTTCGCCGCTACACCGCCGTCAGGTAGACCGTTGAA